TAGTAGGAGTAGGAAAGGAGGAATCCTACTCCTACTAGGAGGAGGATTCCTCCTCCCTTGGCGCACCCAAAGGGGCCGGCCGGCCTTCCCCCCTCCCTCCTTTATATACGGGGGTAGGGGGCACCCCATAGACACACAAGTTGATCTACGGATCGTTCCTTAGCCGTGTGCGGTGCCCCCTTCCACCATATTCCACCTCGGTCATATCGTCGCGGAGTTTAGGCGAAGCCCTGTGCCGGTAGAACATCATCATCGTCACCACGCCGTCATGCTGACGGAACTCATCTCCGGAGCTCGGCTGGATCGGAGGCCGGAGATCGTCATCGAGCTGAACGTGTGCTGAACTCGGAGGCTCCGTACGTTCAGTGCTTGGATCGGTCGGATCGTGAAGACGTACGACTACATCAACCGCGTTGTGATAACGCTTCCGCTTACGGTCTACGAGGGTACGTGGACAAACACTCTCCTCTCTCGTTGCTATGCCATCACCATGATCTTGCGTGTGCGTAGGAATTTTTTTGAAATTACTACGTTCCCCAACAACCTGGGCGTCCTCCACCGCGTCCTATTCAGGTGACTGACACCACGCGTGAGTTTCAACAACCCGGGGCTCCGATCTGTGACGAGAGCTCCAACAAGCGGCAATGGATGCTGAAAATGGATTTCTCGCGATTTGATGGTACCCAGGTCCGGATCTGGTTGGACAAGTGTGAGGCATTTTTCAGATTGTATAACATTCCGGACAGCTTCAAAGTTACTTCTGCTTCTCTGTACTTATCTGACAACACAGCTCATTGGTACCTGGCGTTCAAACAGACAGGTGCAGTTCACACATGGGAACAATTTTGTGCTGCGGTGTTATTGGAGTTTGATGTGGATGTATACAGACTCAAGATGAAAGAGCTGATGATGCTGAAGCAGTTGGGCACAGTGGATGAGTATAAGCAGCAGTTTCTCCAATTGCTCTATACAGTAAGGCTCTATGAACCAACACTCAGTGAGACATTTCTAGTGACAAGGTTTATTATGGGCCTGAAGGATGAGATGCGCTCTGCAGTGGAGTTTCAAATTCCTTACTCAGTACAAGTGGCAACTCAATAGGCTGCTGTACAAGAAGGTTTAGTTCTGCAACAGAAGAGCTACAAGCCAAGTTTCCCCAAACCTGCTTACACTAAGACTGACAACAGATCCGAGTTAGCAACAGGGGAACTGTGGAAAGAAAAGCAGTTGAAAGGATATAGACGTGCAAATGGTCTATGTTAGAAGTGTGGGGACAAGTTTGTGCCAGGCCATGTGTGCCATCAGCCAGTAGCAGAGAAAGCCCAGTTGAAAGCTGCTGAAGTTTTGGATCCTCATGAGATAATCTCTGATGCAGTTCTGGATGCTCTAATTACAAGAGAAACTGAGGAATGTGCTACTGTGTCAGCTACAACTTTGTCTAGGGCTACTCATCCTGAGACAATCCAACTAAGAGCTCTAGTGGGTAACAAAGTGGTCCTGATTCTTGTTGATTCAGGCAGCACACACACATTTGTGGATCAGTCTATTGAGAAAAATTGCTGTCACTCCAGAGAAATTAGAAAGACCAATGCCTGTGAAAGTAGCAAATGGCCACTTAATAAATTGTGTGGAAAAAGTACCTAAACTGACCTGGTGGATTCAGGGACACAGCTTCTGCAGTTCTATGCAAGTATTAACCCTGGGAGGACATGATATCATATTGGGAATGGATTGGTTAGAACAATGGGGAGTGATGAAGTGTCATTGGGCTGACAAGTGGATCCAGTTTCAATATCAAGGTCAAGAAGTTAAGTTGCAAGGGGTATTGCCAGTAAAACAAGATCACATTGAGGAAGTTTCTACAGATCAATTGGCCAAGTGGGAAAAAGGGAATGAGGTGTGGCAACTGCTCTGCTCAACAGGATTGTAATGGCACCTGTGTTGGAAACACCACCAGCTGTGCACCAGGTGTTAGACAGGAACAAGGAAGTGTTTAGAGATCCAAAAACTTTACCTCCCCACAGAGCTTTTGATCACTCTATCAATTTACTGCCTGATACAGTGCCTGTTAACTGTAGACCTTACAGATACTCACCT